TTTTACACAAGTTGTATACACATCTATTTTATTTATTTAAATTTTTAATTTTCCTTTAACTAATTGAATTATTAATATTAAATTAATTCAATTAATTACAGGAAAATTTTAAATTAAAGTAAATAAAATAATCGAACCCTTAACGCTCATAAACGAGTCACACTCGGGCGCGGGTAACTGATAATTTACTCATGCCTAAGTGTGATTCGAACGACTTTAAAATTTGTGCTATGGCTTCGGAAACATCACCCGGATGTCCCGGGTATTATTTTATCCTTGTTTAACATCGGCTTGATAAAAAGGATAAAACGATACACGGGATACTGGGTGGTTTCCGAACGCAGCCTAAAATACACGTGAACGTGTGCTGCTCGGGCACGCGCTAAACTCATGCATCAAGACTCGTCAAGACATGTCGCGATCGTGAGAAGAGGTTTTGTGCATTTTTATTGTTTTTTATTATTAAAAAATTGAGCTTACATACCCAATTTCAAATAAAGAATTATTCAAATATTAATTAATTTTGATAAACAAAGAATGATTATTTTAGACCGTTTTTCTCGAAAAAAGAAACGAGCGGGGATGCTGGATTATCCTGTTTTACCATTAATTTTTAAAGACTCTTTTCTCTTAATTGTGTTTATGGATTAAAAAGTCCTTCTCCACAATTAAAGTATCGACAACAACACAGACTGCCAGCTACAATTTAATACGAAAAATGGAAGAAAATTAAAAATTGTAGTTTTGTCACCGGCTTCTGCAGTCAACTCGTCACAATATGTGCTGCATACAAGAGTTCCAGATTTTACCCGTTTAAAATAAGTAGCCAGCAGCCTACAGAAAACCTGGAAGAACAATTCTATGCTTTTAGAAATGAGGTAGGAGCTTTAGTATAAGAGAAAAGAGTCGCCAAAAATTTCGTTTGTATGCTACGAATAAAATTGAAGCCATGAAACCGAGCAGTATTTTAGTTGATCTCTTTCTAAGAGATGGCGTTGCAATATTTTAAACGAGGACAGATGAATGCATTTGAGCGAGACACAACGATATATAATAAGTATAAGAAATGAATGAAAGATGTCACTATTATCGAATTTGGAATTTAAAAAAGTCTGTACTATCGACCTTGATTAACTTCGACCGTCCCTCCAGCATCCCCTTAAGGTTTAAATAATAATTTGAAAAATCATAAAAAACTGTTTAACAAAAAACAAATCTTAAATCTATTAATTATATTAACTCTTCGCGCATACGCGCACACACACACAGACACATAAGCATACATATTTTTACTTATTTCGTAGACTCTGAGTCTTTTTCGTCTAGCTTAGTCTTTTTTACTGATTAGGCTTTACTGTTCTAGGATTTCAAAAAATCTAGAAAAATTCATGATTACTTTTCAACATCTCTGCTACATTGCTAAATAATTATTTAATTCAAATGTTAAAACCTTTATTTAATAAAAATTGAAAATTTGTGCCAAGAAATTTGAGAGTGAAATTTCGACTGGATAAAAAAAGACTCGGTGTGCCTACGAAGAGTTAATATAAAATATTAATGTATACCTACTCTCTAAAAGTATATTAGTGACTTCAGTGCTATACTTATAGGTAACTGATCGATGTAATCATCAGCGAATATTTTCTGTTTTTCATTAATAATATACTGATTCACCTTCAGAAAGTATAAACACTTTTACTGCATTTATATGGAAAATGGAAGAAAGAAGTGAAACAAACTATAAAAATATATTCTTACTTGTACTGACAATATTTCTGAGCCAGAAATCGTCATCAAATAGAAGCACTCACTTCGGTAGTTTCTAAGGCGATCTCTTTTTTATCGTATAGATACACTCGCGACTCGCGACAATATATGAAAAGGGCAACACCGTCCGATCTGTACAGCCATCGACATCGAAATGATATGCCGATTGTGCTGGAAACAGTAATGGAATTTTACCGGGCACGCGCGTTCCCTTTGCTCGCGCAAAACAAAAAACAGAAGAAACTCCAGTAGCACGTGTTGTTTTTATATACGTTTTTTAAACGTATAATAAACGTGTAGAACATTAGACACATTTAGAAAACGTATATAAAACGTATGTGAACCTATAAGTTCTATCTAGGAAAACGCTTGCGTGCCCGGGTGCCTCCAGCTATCGAGCTCACTGTAGAATCGAAATGCTTTTGTTCAATAAAAGCTTGAAGAAACAAATGTCAACGGTTATGTGGATGTTGCCAAACTGGCAATGTTTTAATGAATTTCCTATTTCTCTTCTTTCAAAAGAACGAATGATTACATTTTTTAAAAGTTGAGTATTAATTAGTTTATTAATTATATTTTAATGCATATTAATTATATTTCAATAGTTTTACTTACCGCTGAACATATATGTATAATATATACATTATACTATACATTATTTATACTTGAATTAAATTCAATTTTCATCACGGAAAATAAAACATACACACTTCAGTATAGTACACTTACACACATTAAAATGCTGTAGGAAAAATTGGAAGAGAGCGTTCGTATTAAATATAAACAAGTGATAATTTAGACAAAGTTCTCACGAAAAATGTTCGTTATATTTAATTCTTAGAGTTCGACATTCGCGCAGAAGTAGCGAAAGTCGTATATTTAAAATATTGATCGTTACAATATAAAATATAAGACTTATAAACGTTTCGACCAAAATGTGGCCATCTTCAGTATACAAATAAAAATCAAAGTCAATAACAATCAATCAAGGTAAAATAAAATAATATAGAAGCGAAGTCAATAACAATAAAATTAAAGTAAAATTAGAGCGTACATGTTACAGTTGTCAGGATGCGGTCCTTGTTTAAAAGATGTACGCTTTACTCACATCAGTCAGAATACTTTCCGCTTTATTATTACATCTCTCTTCTGAATATGATTTCTGCTGGAACTGAGCATAGGTATGTTTGCAACTTACTTTTAATAATTCGTATCGAATTTTTCATAATTAAATTAACTCTGATAAGAATCAGGAAATTTTATGGTTATACTGTAAACTTTATCACATAAAGAAGATCAGCTATCAAGAGACTAGTTCACACAAAATTACTGCGGATCTTTTATATAATTAAGAATTCGTCTAATTTTACATGCGTGTTTAACAACCATGAAAATTTGTATGCTCATTAACTTATTTAATTTACAATAACTTAATATTTAAACAAGAACCTCATCTTGACAACTGTAACACGCTTCGATTTTATTTTAATTTTATTGTTACCGACTTCGCTTCTATATTATTTTATTTTACCTTGATTGACTTCGATTTTTATTTATATACTGAAGATGGCCACATCTTGACCGAAACGTTTATAATTCTTATATTTTACATTGTGACGACTAATATTTTAAATATATGACTTTCGCTATCGACATCCAGCGTGTAGCTAACTACTTTTCTATTTATTGTTTATTAATTTAAGCTACTTGTTTTGTTTTTAATTTATTAAATTAGAGTCAAACCCAATGAACATATGATGGTATATTAAACGTCCATTATACGTAAGTAGGTATAAAAGTGGTATAAGTATACTGGATACTTAAGATAAATGCTTACATTTTTACCGTTTTTATACCATCGAATAATATACGATAATCGTATTCGTTTTAATTACGTATGCATGATACAAAACTGATTTTATACATTGAGAAACGATATACGGAAAAATGGGTTTAATTTTAAGAGTGTATATCTACGTTTATTTATATAATCGGACAAACATTTATTGAAGTTTTAAAGACGTATATTAAACCGTTTGTACAATACCATATTTTCTAAACATTTATAAATGAAAGTTTTTTCATAAATTATATATGTTTTAAATAAATGTTTGTCCGATTATATAAATATAAACGTAGATACACCCTTAAAATTAAACCCTTTTTTCCGTATACTGTTTTTGAACGTATAAGATCAATTTTGTATTATGCAAACGTATTAAAAACGGATATGATTATCGTATATTATTCGATGGTATAAAAACGGTAAAAATGTAAACGTTAATCTGATATACTTTTGATATACTTATACCTACTTTACGTATAATTAACGTTTAATATACCATCATGTGTTTATTAGCTCAATATGGATTAAATATAAATAATAAAATATGTTTATTAGTTGTATAAAATATTAGTCATAAAATCGTATATGTACAATATTTGTACAAACATTTATTGACGTTTTAAAGACGTATATTGTACCATTTGTACAATACCGTATTTTTTAAACATTTATAAATGAGAGTTTTTTCATAAATTATATGTGTTTTAAATAAACGTTTGTCCGATTGTATAAATAAAAAAAATACGTAGATACACCCTTAAAATTAAACCCTTTTTTCTGTATACTATTTTTCAACGTATAAAATCAGTTTTGTATTATGCATACGTAATTAAAACGTATATGATTATCGTATATTATACGGTGGTATAAATACGGTAAAAATTTAAACATTTATCTGATATACTTACGATATACTTATACCATTTTTATACCTACTTTACGTATAATGAACGTTTAATATACCATCATATGTTTACTGGGAATTATATTATCATATTAACATATTATATTATGAATTATATTATCATATTACCTCCGTTAATCCTAATGAGAGATTTTTTGAAATGTTGTGTGAAGCATCAGATTTCCAGATTTTAATTGAAAGTAAAAAATCTATTTAAAAGTTACTAAAACTATTTCCTAATAAAAAATATATATCTATATTTTATGAACGTACCTACCTGTGTTTGTTACAACAATCTCTACATTGTTCGCTATCTATACTGGGATTTTCTTTCTACATGAGAGACAAAGTGATGACAAGAGACGGAAATACTTTTATTTGTAAAAGCTGCGGATGACTTTCAGTGTGTCAAAATTTATACCTATCATGAAAAGAGGAAGGAAGTTTATTGGAGGGAATTAAAATTATTTTAATTGAGGGGGGAATATTCTTTAATAATAGGCAAATAGATATCCAGTAATAAATTATTTATATTGCATACTAAAGATGGCCTGATGTGGGCCGATACGTTTATGAAGTTGTTTTTGTCAACGTAAGAATTTTAAATAGGTATATGACATTCGCAAAAAAACATCCTGTATGTGGCTGCATGTTCCTTGTATTTTGTATTTGTATTTTGTGAGCTACTTGTAAATTTATAAATATACTTACTTAAATTTAGTTTTTTTTCTGTGTGTCCATTTGTTAACTAATTCAAAAAAACTTTCTATTTTAAAAATGAGATAATTCTTTGTCACTTTTTCAATTCAATTTTACTTATAGCTGGATATGGCACAGCTTCCCACAAAGAATGACTTCCATCACCCTTTTTCCTTATGACGCTTTCTACGAGTTCCTTCGACGGTTCTTTGAGATCGTACGCCCACCCAATTTTCGCAAAGAAGTTAATAAAAGCTGTGGTTATGAAACCATGTAACTCGGCAGCTTTATAGTCCCACGGAAAAACATGATGATAATTGTGCAGTCCTTCACCGGCCGAAAAAAAGTTAACCCATCGGTTCTCTGTCGGATTTATATGCCTGCCGTTGAAATAAACAAAATTATTCTTAGGCAATGTAAAATGACAAAAAACTTTATGTCTTCTAATCAAGTTTATTATGTGTGAATAATATTGATACTAATTATCTGCTTACGCATTATATGGTTTTGAGCCCCAAATATGAGCCGCACTGTTGACACTCCATATGGCATTTAAAAGGCTAACGTAACGAATAATATCCTGAGACACGAAAGCTCTATACCAAGTTTCATTCCATGCATACACAGGCAACATCACCGGAAGCAGGAAAGCGAACATAAATTTTAATATCGGAAAATATCTGCAAAATAGCATAAATTAATTACAATATATAATTTTCATGACAGTTTTATATCTTATGTAAAAAAATCTGTGTAAAAAAAATTTCTAAAATTGAGAAGGCTGCAAAAATATATCGTCGTAAACCCAAAAAATACTTGCGAAAATCTTCAACTTTAACGTAAAAGAGCTTAGTTTTCCCTACAAAATTATTTTTTATAAATGTTTCTAAGATTTTTTCTTATCAAGTTATTACAGATTAAATAAACAAGAATTTTTATTTTGATTGTTCATAATTACGTAAAAA